GGGCTCAATGGAAAGCCTATATCGCCGACCAGGTATCACTGACCTAAGAACCGAGTATCAGTCGGCTAAGTCACGCATCAACGTCCGTTGAAGTCCGCCGAGTCGGCAGGATCTTCAAGGAAGCCTGTGACGGAGCGAGTCCGTCACAAAACAAAAATCCCTTCTTTAGCTCAGCTGGAAGAGCATCGGTCTGTAGTGTTTATCAAAGTTTACCGAGGGTCGCTGGTTCGATTCCGGCAAGAAGGATTTTTGCCCTTGGGTTTTCAAACATTGGTTTTTACGTAGCTCCAGGGGTGTTTTCAGCCGAATTCGTAGTTCGGGTTGATATCCATCCCACAGGTTCTTATTGTGATACGTATTTATCGCGCTGCCCGATGATTTTATTTCTTGATTGTTGGAGCGGCGAAGCGCTTGAGGCCCAGCTGGACGGCCGGAGTCAACGGGGCCGAGACGGCGATGTCGGTGACGAAGTTGTTGGCATCGATGCGAGCCGGGCGAGCGGCGCGGACGGCCGTCAGCAGAGCGGTGAGGTTCGCAAGGAGGTCCGCGTCACTCCATCCGCTGAAGCCGATCTGCTGGTGCACCACGCCGCCCTCGCTCAGGGTGACGGCGATGGCGCCCTGCAGCTGCGCGAGCATGGCGGGGATGTCCGTGCCGACGGTGCCCTTGGCGGGCGAGGGCATCAGACCGCGGGGACCGAGCACGCGGGAGACTTTGACGATATGGGGGAAGAGGGCGCGCGTGGCGAGGATCTTGTCGAAGGGCAGTGTCGACGTATCGTTCGAAGTCTGCGGGAGCGCCTCAACCATGACGCGAACTTCTTCGATGAAGTCGCGGCCGCCAACCAGGGTGGCGCCGGCGGCGCGGGCCTCTTCGGCGGCGTCCCCCTCGGCGAACACGAGCGTGCGGATGGCCGTTGCTTGGCGCAGGGCGCGAGGGAACATGACTTCGGCCTTGAGAATGCGGTCGCCAGTGAAGTCTTCGGCGTTACATGTCAGATGAGCCGCCACGGGCTTGTTCTCGCCGAGGCAATACGTCTATCCCGCCATACCCGCGTATACGCATGGGTGCCAAATGCCAACCAGATCCAACACAAAAGACCAGATTGGGGGTGAGTCGCCGGATCGGCAAAGGTGCGGGGGAGTAGCCCCATCAGATTCATCAGGTTCATCCGGCTGTCTAAGCGTCGTGCTTACCCTCAAGACGCTGAGCGTTTCTTCGACCGTCATCTGATCTTCGCCGAGCAGTGCACGCGCCTTCTTTTTGTTTGCCTTGAAGCGCTTGCGGTCATACGCGCGGGTCTGCGATACCTGCAGGGCCGCCGCGCATGGCCGTGCCCATGAGGGTGCCACGGCCCACCGCGAAGCGACGGGCGTCATGCAAGCGCCGACACGGGCGCCGGCGCGCACCCAGGCCTGCGGCGCCCAGGCGCTCATTCTTGAAGCCATCGTGCGGACGAGACGGATGCGAAGCCGGCGCGGTTCTCGCCGCCCCAAGTGAACGGCGTCGGCGCGATGGCGTGTGTGCGGCGTGCGGGAACGAGCGCGCGAAGCACACGGGCCACAGGGAGCAATGCGAGGGCGCGAGGCACAGTGGCGGCGGTGCGTGACGGGCGGGCGGACGGGTGGGTGAGTGGGCGAGTGCGCGCGTCAAGAGGAGGATCCGCCGTGAGTGAGCCGTTGTCGTGTGGCGTTCCCGTGAAAGCGGCGATGCGCATCGACGGCGTGCAGCAGCTCCATCAGTCGCGCGGCTGCCCTGTGAGCATCCCGAGCGCACGTGGCCCTGGGTGTCGTTATCCGTGAAGGCAGGACCCAACGCTGTGCCGTGCTGTGCTGGGCCGCGCCGCGCCGCGCTGACCGGGGTCAAGTCAGGCATGGCGGATGGGAGTATAAAGCGGCACGCGCCGCGTGGCACGGCCGACGCCGTCCTGGACTGGCTGTCTTGGCCAGGCGCCAGCGCCGTGTCGGAAGTGTGCGGCCGTCTGTGGCGGCGGCGGCGACCTCGTGTGGCGGGACCCCCTTCGCAACGGCGGAGATGCCCGTAACGACCGACGCCGCCGAGGAAAGGCGGCCAAGGCTCTTGCGGGGTGATCACGACGGCGGGACGCTCCGCCGCCCCCTTCCCTGAGTGAGGTGCAAGCCCACGGGTTCGCCCTCGCGCGCGACGCGGCGATCGGAGTCGCCACGCCAATTACACTGCAGGAGGGTCGATCCGCGCAGGGGTCCACCGATGCCTGCGGCGGAAACAGATCGCTATTACTCTGCATACTAACTCTCCCTATGCCGCGCAGATTCCGGATGATGTAGCGGCTCATGCCCGTGTTCAGGATCCCCCGCGCGTTTTCTTTTCTGCGAGCACGCATGCATGCGGTCGCGGCGTCGCATCGTCGGCCAATACTGCCGCCGCTTATGCTCGCCGCGTAACGGTCTCCCCACCATGTCTGAGTCCACCGCAGGCCACGCCAGTGCGGTGGCTGCCGCTCCCGCTCCGGCTGGGCGGGCGGCCACCGCGACGCCTGCGTGCGTGACGTTCACGCCCCAGTCCCTCTTCTATGCCCCGCCGTCGCTCGATATCGAAGCAGCCGCAGCGCCGGCCCGTGCGACGCCGGTTGCCATTGATGCGGACCTCGTGGCGCGGATCCGCCGCTGCTTCGTTGACACTGCTCATGCGTCGGCGGCAGAAAGCTCTGTCGTCCAGGCTGATCCGAGTCGCCGTTCGCTAGAAGCCGCCCGGTTCTTTTTCCTTCACGCCCAAAGTAGGTCTCCACATCGCGCCTTCACCACTGCATGACCCTCGCTTCTTGGAGTCGGACGCTTCCGCCGAGGAATGAACGACATGCAACAAATCAGCGTCAGAGGATACTAAGATACTCATGCGTCCTGGACCCATTTGATATATCGGCGGGCGATGCGATGGACAGGCAACGGATGGACGGCGCTCGACGTCGTCGTCGTCCGATGGGCAGACGCGACGCCCGCGATGGTGCTCGTGGCCGGTCGTCCGCCAGCCCCGGCGGCTGCGGCGGCGGCGCTATCGCCGTTGTCGGCTGGCGGGCCCGATGACCGCCAGGCCCCCCCGTACGCCGTCGTCTTCCCGACGCTGCCTGATGAAGCGCTTTCTCTCGCGCAGCTGCTCCGCGCTGCTGACATCGGTCGGCGCATAGGCGCGGTGCTCTCGCGCCAAGCATCACCGCGGCCACCCAACGATGCGGCGGTGGCGGCTTTGGCGGCGACAAGCGATGCCGTTGTCTTGCGTCCATCAATGCGGTTCTTTCTGAGTGAGGCGACCGGCGACGGGGATGACGGGAATGGCGGCCGCGACGGCGAGGTAGCGGTCTGCCATGCGTCCGCGGGCCCCCACGGCGTCGTGACTTACCGCATCGAGCGCGAAACGTAGATTGAGTAATTATCATTTGAGTGAACGAGGTGACCACGCATCGGAGAAAGGGAGGCCCTGAGAGCTCAACGCAGCTCTCCATCAGAGCTTTGCGCTCCCCAGCGACTCTAAATATGTTCATGTCGCCACACTGTTCACCTAGGAAAAAGGCATGTTCCTGGCGTGCCCCGCAAAACTTCACGGCGACCGGCAACACCGACCGCCGACAACGACCCCGGGGTCGTAGTCGGCGGGCTCTGTGTAAGGCAGAAAGATCCGCAATGGCCTCATGCCTGTGAAGGGCCGATGTGAACCGCGAGCACATCGTGAACACCGGTTCCACGCCCGTCAGCTCTTCCATTCCACGATGGATTCATCATTCGACGAAAATTGTACATTTGCGTCCTCAACAGAAGTGCTTGATGATACACCCCAAAGCCATCGCGATGCCTGAAAGTTCCCTGATGACATCCAATCGAAAAATGACCATGCTTTACACGCCTATCAGCGCGGGGTTCATCTGGGTTAGTAGAATCTGGTAGGTTCTCCCAAACAGAACGAACCTCGCTATCATGGTGTCATATCGAGTGCTTTTCCTTGCCATGGCTGATATTATCGCTCGTCATCGCTATCACATGTCATTTCGGATGTCACTGGATGGACCCGGTGCCGCCCTCGCCGCTTTGTGAAGGATCGCGCCTGGAAGAATCTCCAAGCGAAACGCAGCAAGAAAGGTGCCCTCATGAGCGTGTGTCATGCGACGAGATGAACCCGACTGCCGTAAATAGATGTGTCAGCACACCCGTATCAATCCAGTCTAGGAGCCAGTGCCGTTGTGGCCGTGTGATGCGGGTACTGACAACTCGGAAGGAGGCGTTGCTGCGAAGCTCCGGGAAGCGTCGACCGAGAAGCTTCTGCGGCTCCATTCAGAGAAGCTTTCCGCCGCGATTCTCGCGTAGTCGAGTCGTTATCACTCTCGAACGCCGTCGCTCCCCAGCACAGGTTCACTCCCACTATAGGTCACCATGGGCTGTCGCCTGCGAGATGAGAACGCGAGGCCAAGCGGTGTGCCGCAGGATTATGAGCTGGAGAGCGGCAAGAGAGCTAGCGAGCGACATCCAGCATTGGATCAGAGTGTGGAACGGCCTGGATGCTCAGGTTGCCACCGATGCGGTCGGTGGAGACGAGTCTCTCTCCCCTTTCTCTCTCGCTCTTCCGGCGCTTTCGGGGGCCACGTGATGGACGGGAAAGTCGAGTAGGCCGTTCTGCGTGTGCTTCTCTTGCGTCGGCGCTCAAAGCCAGGGCGTGGGATGGGTTGGGATGGTGCGGCAGGGGCCCTGGCAATGCCATGCTGTCGTCCCTCTGCCCGGATCAGAGGAATCCATAGGGCGGAAGCGCGGATATGCCGAATTTCTCCATAGCGGCCCATGTCCGAGTGTCGTTGGGCGGCGTCTGTCGCTGGCTCCGACCGCCATGCAGATGTGTCACGAAAGGGCGGCATCCCTTGGCTCAGGGACACGCTGACCGACTCGGTGCATCGAGATCAGACCGGGGGTTCGGAGGTCCCAACACATGGTGGAGTGTTATCGCATTGGCGCATGCCGTCGGATTCATACTGAATTTTCTTCTTTTGGTCATTTCACCGGCATGTTTGATCCGACGCCCAGAAACGCCGCTTCGATGCGTGCTTCTCGCGTTCCGCAAGAGAGGCTGCTGGATTCGGTGACCTGGATCATCTCGATGCCATCCCGCCATTGTCTCAGCCATCATATCATAAAGGAGTCGAATTTGTGGCAGTCCGGCGAGGCGACTTTAACTCAACGAGTGGTCTTGAAACCCTCACAAGAAAAAAAAAGTTGCGATGTGACCTG